TCTAGCAATGAGTGGTTCTGTGCTGCAGTTTCATAAAGCATTAAAGACAGCGATCTGGGAAATAGAGAGAACGGAACGATGCAGGGGAAGAGAGAAAGATGCAGGCACGTGTGTGCACGCGAGAAGTTCCTTACGGCAGAGGATCCCCTGCTCTTTCATGTCTCACCAAGCATGACTAACTTCTGGCTTTACTCTGACACACACACACACACACACATACACGCTAACCAACACACACACACGTTCCAGGATGCTGAATCTGCTCCCAATCTAGTCACGTTTTCCTGGCTTTGCAGCGCTAGCTGACACACTAACGCACGACAGCAGCAACGTGCACGGCATGCGTGTTTATCTGTGGCTCTCTGTGTGTTAGCCTGCGCTCGTGGTCAGCGGGCAATCTGCAGGCTCGGTCCTGATTAGGAAAGCTCGTGTCCGCAATGCAGAGAGCTGATACATATTCAGTGTCTTTTCATTCATGCATTAGTTCATTCAGAGGTTTTTTTTTTCAGCTTTGGGAAGACTAAAAAGCATTTGTTGAAATGAAGGTTTAGAAGGCCAAATACAGGTGAAGGCAGAGGGCAGCGGCGGGCGGCGGCGTTGACAGTGTAAGCCCCGTTTTTCTTCATGATCTCGGTGTCCTGCTGCTCAAAACGTTAGACTCCAGGTTATTTTTAGGCGCTATAATTAGAAGGACGGCAATGAATCAAAGGATCATAGCAAGAGCAGAGAAGAAATAAAGTGTGCTGATGGTAATAATAAAGGTCGAATCGGAGCGGGGCTTCACTCTTGATTGAGGCCAAAGTGAGAAAACAGAGTGGAGCTGTGGCAGGAGGGGGAGCCGTGTCTGTTTGAATTCACTGAAATTAGCTGTTGTAGTGTTTTTTGTGCTCTCCTGTGTGATGCAGCAGCCTACTTCCTGCTGCAAAACATTATGTCTACAAAACATTTAACATCATGTTATTGATCAGGGTGGCTTTTTAAACTGCCTGGTCAGTTTTATTGCTTCATTTATTTCATGATTGTGTTTGTATTGGGTGTGTGTGTGTGTGGGGGGGGGTAGTCTATGGCATGTTGAGTAATTA